GCATGTAAAATTCAAGTGCAGAAGTTTAGGTGACATGGATAGAGAACCTTGTTGTCCAGGTAGAAATGCACTGTTTCAGAAGTACAGCATCTCAGTTTTTACTGTTTTTTGACCAAGTAACAGAAATATAGAAACTGAGCAGGAGGAGGCCATTCAGCCCCTTGAGCATGCGCTGCCACTCAATAGGATCATGGCTGATTCTCGATCTCAATGCCATATTCTTGCTTTCTCTCCATAACCGTTGTCGCAAAGAGCCCAACTTCGCCCTTAACACCAATTCCAACTCTACTTTGCTCTGAAGATATACATACTGTGTAGAAAGGTTTTCCAAACGTCACTGTGTTGCTTATTTTGCCATTCACCTCAAATTTATGTCCTTTAGTTCTGGATTCTCTCTGTCCGGATCCCTCATGATTTGGAATACTTCTAACAGATGTCTTCTTAATCTTAAGAGTCATAGAGATGTACAGCATGGAAAGACCCTTCTATCCAACTCATCCATGCTGACCAGATAGCCTAAACTAATCTAGTCCCATTTGCCAGCATTTGGCCCATACCCATTTAAACCCTTCCCTTTCATATACCCATCCAGATGCCTTTTAAATGTTGTAATTGTACCAGCCTCCAACACTTCCTCTAGCAGTTCAATCCTGACATGCACCACCCTCTGTGTGAAAAAGTTGACTCTCAGGTCCCTTTTAAATCTTTCCCCTCTCACCTTAAACCAATGCCCTCTAGTTTTGGACTCCCCTATCCTGGGGAAAAGACCTTGACTTTTCACTCTATCCATGCCCCTCAAGATTTTACAAATCTCTATAAGGTCACCCCTCAGCCTCTGATTTTCCAGAGAAAGTAGCACCAGCCTATTCAGCTTCTTCCTATAGCTCAAACCCTCCAACCTTGGCAATATCCTTGTAAGTCTTTTGTGAATCCTTTCAAGTTTAACAACATCTTTCCTATAGGAAGGAGACCAGAATTGAACGCAGTATTCCAATTGAACGCAGTATTCCAATTGAACGCAGTATTCCAATTGAACTGACCAATAAAGGCAAGTGTACCAAACGTCTTTTTCATACCTTGTCTACCTGAGACTCCACGTTCAAGGAACTATGAACTTGCACTCCAAGGTCACTTTGTTCGGCAACACACCTCAGGACCTCACCATTAAGTGTATAAGTCCTGCATGATTTGCCCTATCAAAATGTAGCACCTCACATTTGTCTAGATTAAACTCCATCTGCCACTGCTTGGCCCATCTGATCAATGTCCCGTTGTACTATGAGGTAACCTTCATCCAATACACCACCAATTTTAGTGTCATCTGCAAGTTTACTATCCATACCTCCTATATACACCTCCAAATCATTTATATAAATTACAATAGACAATGGACCCAACACCTATTCCTGCGGTACACCGCTGGTCACAGGGCCCCAGTGTGAAAAGCGACCTTCCATCACCACCTTCTGTCTGAATGAATCTGTTCGGGAATGCGATCTGGGGCAGGTAATACTTGAACTCAAACCTTCAGATTCATGATGTAGGTGAAGAAACTAGATGTAATGTTTAACACCTTGAGCCTGCCCTGCCATTCAGTAAGATCATGGCTGATCTGATTGTAACCTCAAATCCACATTCCCACCCACATCTGGTAACCTTTCACCCACTTGCTTGAGAAAAATCTAACAATGTCTGCCTTAAAAATACTCACAGACCCTGCTTCCACCCCCCTCTTCAAGAGGAGAGTTCCAAAAACCCACAGAAAAAGTTAATTCACCTCACTCTCTGTTTTAACAGAGTGAAAACTGATTTTTAAACAGTGACCCAAAGTTCTATCTTCTGCCGTAAGAGGAACCATCCTTTCCAAACCTACCCTGTTAAGATCTCTCAGGATCTTTATATATATATCAATCAAGTCATTGTTTACTCTTTTAAATTCCATTGGATATAAACCTAACCTGTTCAACCTGCCCTCACAAGTTAACCCACCCATTTGCTGTATTAGTCTTGCAAATCTTGTGTGAACTACCTCCAAAGCATTGGCATCATTCCTTAATCAAGATGACCAACACCATACATAGTATTGAAGAAAATTCATTGCAGACATGCAAGACAGCAAATAAATGCTCTATGTTCACCTAGAGTCACTCTCACCACATGCCTTAATTTGCAGAAACAATCAAGTACAATCAGACTAAAATGATGACTTTTGGCAAATTGGGAGTTCTTTTTATTTGTGTGATTGATAAGACCCATTTCAGGTTTTAAATTGATCAGAATATTTAGACTGTGCACAGAATGTTGGTGCACAGTCTCCTACCTGAGAGGATCGCTTTGACGCTATAACTGGGTTGAAGGAGTAACTGGCCGCTGAAATTTTTTGGAAAGATGGAGAAATGTTCTTTGAGTGCTGGGACACCTGTCACTGGCTTTACAATACGGCTGCGGCCCACCGCAATCTTCCATGTGAGTATTTGATCAAGTGTGTAGTAATTGTCATCGTGACATTCCTGGAACACCCCTCTGCAATTCATTGGTAGATGTACAACTGGATGTTTTTTCCTCTGAATGAGCTGACATTTCAGCATCTTCCCATGGACTCCTTCTTCAATTCCAAGTAATGCTAATTCTTCACCTTTCCTAAGAACGTTGCCATCAGCCAAGGAAATTTTCACCTTGTTTTGGAATCGTGGCTGTTCTTCTCTCTTAGCCCCTAGCTTCACACAGTTTACAAGATTGCCCACAGTCTCATAGGTACCTGGATCTGGAATGAGCAGAAATTCCCCTGAAATGGAAAACAAAACCATTAAAGTAAACTAATGTTGTTTAAATTTACTTTAACAAGCTTCATGAAAGAGATAATACTTCATTTGTGCAAAGAAAATAATGGTTTTAAAAGTCACACCGAAAAATAAGGTTTCACACCGAAAAGACTAGTCCTGCTCTCTTGTGTCATACATCAGTGTCATTGACAAGGCCAGCTTTTACTGCCCAACCCTAGCTGTCCTGGGGAAAGTAGTTGATAAGCCTTCAGCTTGAATCTCTGCAAGTGTTCATGGAGAGAGTGCTCCCTTTGTGCCTTTGGGATAGGAGTCGATGAGATAACGAAGGGATGGCTGTTTATTTTCCAAGTCAGAGTGTTGTGGGACTTGGAGGGGGGCTTGTGGGTTTGGGAGGTGGTGATGACGGTGGATTAACAAGTTACTGCAGTGCAACCTGTGATTAACACCAACCAGTGCCAGCTTGCAACTATGTTTAAGGTGGGAGACAGGATGTCCATCAGATAGACTGCTTTGTACTGGAAGCCTCTAGAGAAGGCATTGGCAGATGAAGGCTTGTAGGAATCTACTGGCCCAAAGGAAACCTCTGATCTGGCCCATACTTCCACAGAGAAGTGAGCACAGTAAATGAACAAAGCATGTTTTAAGTACAAAATAACAAACTAAAATAAACACCCAACAAACACTCTGAATGCTGTAGTATTCAGGATTGTAGCCCCGAATGGTGGTACAGGATGAATCATTGTTGCTAAGAGGCCCAGACGTGTTCTTATAATGCAGGGTTTGAGCAGAGTTCATGCACTTCACTTCCTCCCAACCCCTGTCCCTCTTGTGCAAGGATATCCTCTCTGCCTCATTTCTGAAACTACGGCCTTCCCAGAAGACTGCGAGATTAGGGGAGGAGCAGGAGCCATGTTAAGATGGTGGGCAAGTCATTTTATGCTCGTGAATATTATATATCAGCAGCAATGCCTGCCTCTGGAAGAGGTCACGCTTGGATCTTGGACTGAGCCTACAGGGTTCTAAGAATGCTTATGGCTCAAGTGTAAGCAGTACATAAAGGTTTGTGTTGAACTGCGTGAGGAAGAGTTGCCTCAGTATGATCTTGCTACCTGGAGGTTTACCTTGCTTGGTCAGATTTTCCTGTCAGCAGCAGAAGACAAACCCCTGGGGACTGGAGAGGATGGAGGGGGAAGCCAGAAGCAGCAAACCACTTGCTGGTTTTAGTCATCTTCATGGATGGAGGGGAGTCTGAAAACCCTTCAGCCAGGGGTTAAGTGTGTGGAAGGAGATCCACTGTGCAAGAACACCTAGTGTCCTGACAGTCTAGACTACAGAGCACAGCACGCAGAATGATTAGTTAGAGCGATGCTGCTCAATGACTAATGTGGAAACAAATGAACTTTCTCACTCCTGTAGAGCACAAGAGAAAGGTTCTAAGAATGTTCTCCCTCCCCACTTCTGTAGATAATGTGCATAGTTAATAAAGGTTGCTGTACAGTTGTATGAAGACAGACTCAATTTTCTTGGCATGATCACACTGCACCATGCAGGTACTATCAGGCTTGTCAGTAAATTTACCATGTACAGCTTACCTGAAGAAGGGGACTGTACACATGAAAGATCACAGAGTGTGACATTGGGTCAATGTGCATTCAGGACTATGCACACAGTTACTGCAGTTTTGACTTGCCTTGTGGCGTACCAAATGTGTACTTTGTAATTTCAAACCTTTGATGTGTTCTTGAGTTACAGTTATTTCTAAAAAGTCAAGTTAGCTGTTCTACAGTTTAGTTTCTCCACCTTCTTCATTACCTGACCTGCAAGTGCTGTTTCTTGCTGGGGTGTACTGGTTGCTAGCAATCCATAGTCCCATCTCTGAGAAGCTGTTCTCTATACGTAGGTCTGCAGAGTGTATGTTGGCAAGTACTTTGGTACTGAAGTCAGCCCTTGTCCTATCAAGACCACGTGAAGATGTCTGTACAGGTGCAACCTCCATTCATTTCTACGCTGCCTCCCTAATATATTCACCAAAGCATTAGCTGTTGTCTTAATTATGTCTATTAATTAACAGAAGTTCACCTCACCAGAAAAACTATATATCTACAATTTGTTCAGAATCATCAGATCATTACCATGCAGAAGCAGGTCATTTGGCCCATCCAAATGGTTATCTCATCCAGTGCATTTCTCCTACTTTATCCCCATAACTCTGCAGATTCTTTCTTTTCATGATTTTGAAGACTTAAATCGGATGTTCTTGCTCTACTCACCTCTCCGAGGAAAACAAATCCCAATTTCTCCAATCTGTCTTCATAATTGAAATTCTTCATCCCCAAAATCATTCTCATAAACCCATTCTGCTCCCTCTCTAATGCATAAATAAGGACCAAACACCGGACTGTGCTGGAGAAACCCAGCAGATCTGGCTGAGAGAAGGACCAAGTGACTGTTTCAAGTCCAGTGACCTGTCATCAGAACTAAATAAGAACATTGTTCAATTAAACAAGTCATGTGAAACATGGCAACTCCATCAAACCCAAGAATAGAAAGAACCTGTCATCCCACACGAGATTCTGTCTGAGTCATAGTGCAATATTGCAACTGATACTTTCCATGAACAAGGACATGATTACATTCTACTGACTGACTACTTCACTACATTCCCTTTCGCAACAAAGATACCGATTGACACATTGACTCCCATATTTTTCCTATTTGGTGTCTTTCAGCCAATTCTGCTCGGCAACAGTCCGCAATACACTTGTGCACCCTTCCAAGTCGTGTAGAGAGTGGAGTATTCTCAGTAACCTCAGTTTCATAGAACCATAGGGGTAGCTCAGTGGTTCAGTGGTTAGCACTGCAGCCTCACAGCACCGGGGATCCGGGTTCGATTCTACCCTTGGGCGACTGTCTGTGTGGAGTTTGCACATTCTCCCCATGTCTGCTTGGGTTTCCTCCGGGTGCTCTGGTTTCCTCCCACAATCCAAAGATGTGCAGGTTAGGTGGACTGGCCATGCTAAATTGCCCCTAGTGTTCAGGGATGTGTAGATTAGGTGGGTTATAGGGGATGGGTCTGGGTGGGATGCTCCAAGAGTCAATGTGGACTTGTTGGGCCAAAGGCCCTCTGTTTCCACACTGTAGGGATTCTATGATACACTGTATAGAAAATCTAATACAGTCAAAGGTAAAGTGACAGGCCAAGATTTTCAAATAGGTACAGGTATGCCAAATCTGTGTGCTACCCCTCTAGGCAATTGTTTAGTCTCACCAGCAGCTGTCCTGGTTAGGAGATAGGTCCTCGCAGTTATTAATACTCAACCATATGCAGCACAACTCTTGTTGGAATGAGAGGAGAAAATGGAACAAGCGCACGATTGATGAGCATAGAGAACACTATTCCACCTCAAACTAGGACAAAGCATAAGAGTGCAAGATTTTTGTACAAACCCATGTGTTTGTGTAAAAAATACTACGTCATTATGTCCAATCTAGGTTATATGACACAGGAAGGAACACTGGTCAAATCCGCTGAAGAAATACGTGAAGTATCCAATATATGAGCAATCAACCAGCTGTCACACATGTTTTCAAACTTCTGTATCTTCTGCCCAATGGAAGAGGTGGAAGAGAGGATAATCAGGTTGGTAGACGTCTTTGATTCTGTTTGCTGCTTTCCCAAGCCAGGGGAACTATAGACAGAATCAATGGATGAGGCTGGTTTACATGATTTCTTGTGGTCTCAGGAAGAGGAATTAATATACCAAGCTGTGATGCATCTGGATAGGATGCTTTCTATGGTGCATCTGTGAAAATTGGTAAGAATCATTGTGGACATGCAAATTTCTTCAGCCTTCTATTAAAGTCTACCATATCATACATTCACCCAACCATTACCTAAATGAGTAGAATCAATGTAACTATATGCATTCTTGTACATGTTATTGAAAAAAGGTTCCCTTCTTTAAAGGGAAAAGGAGGGTTGTTGTATCATTGCATAGACCAGACAGGTGGTACATCTTGAAGGCAGTTACAAGGCATTGTGATTTGGGATATTCCAGTGTAAAGTTACTCACCATGCTATCAGCTATTCTCTATGTGCAATGGAGTCAGTATATTGGGTTTAGTCAGTCAGTTATGTGTATGTGATGCGCAACATTAAGCACAGAACCTGCATGGTGTGAAAATCTTGTGATATTATCCCAATGTAAGTAATGATGTTATTAAAGTTAAAGACATCTGTCTCATCAAGAAACTGGTCTTTGTGGTATATGTTATGTGAGCTATCATATAATGGATCACCTCAGCGTTCAGATCATATCAAACTGGCTTTGTGTTTGACCCAAGAAATCATGTCACGTTCTGTCAACTTTTTACTTTATAAGTTCCCTTCAGCATAATATTGATGATATTGGGGATAAGAAACTTTTTCTTCCTTTCATGGGATGTGTGTGTTGTTAAGCAAACTGTTATTGCCCATCCTTATTCGCCTTCGAGAAGGTGATGGGAAGATGTCTTCTTGAACCATTGCAGTCTATGTACTGTAGGCAGAGCCACATGCCTTAAACGAGGGAGTATCAGGATTTTGACCCCGTGAGAGTAAAGGAACTGCAATATATTTCCAAGGCAGGATAATGAGTGGCTTGGAGAGCAACTTGTTGGTGGTGATGTTTCCAAGTATGGTGTTCACTTAGCTCTCTATTACTTGCTGCTCCTGCTGTTTGGCACACATAAGTCCTGTTTGGTAGCTTTACCAGGTTGACACCTTATTTTTAACTTCAGATTAGTGAGGAGATGAGCAAACTTGGCTTAAAAACGAAAAGTGCTGGAGAAACTCAGCAGATCTCGCAGCATCTGTGGCGTGAGAAACAGAGTGATAGTTTCAAGTCTTATATGACTCGAAGTTTTTATTTCAGATTTCCAGCATCTATAGTACTAAGAGAGGAGTAGGAGTTGTTTTCTTTAGAGTAATGAGTTAAAGGGTAAATCTAATAGACGTCCATTA